TTTGGAGGTTGCTTTACACAAAGTAAATATTGAGCTCCAAAGACAGGATAACAAATGAGAAGGGAAAAAGAGACCTCACTTAAAAGTAGGAAAGGGTCAGGGCAGGCAGCATCTGTCAGACTGAATGTTTTATTTCAACAGACATCCCTGGTTTAAAAAAAAAAAAAAAAGATGGAGGGGTTCAACATTTCGTCACACCCAACAGAGAGCAAAACTCCCATCCAAGAACTCAGAACCCCTTCTGAGGCATCACTTGAGTCTCTGCTAGCTCCAAGACAGAAAGGAGCTGAATTTTCTAACTTTTGTTAAGAAAAATCTATCAAATATGTTCATTCTCGCAGAGGCGAGGGCTGGGTCCTCAGGGAAGGAGATCCTGGGCTTGGAACAGCTGGGGTCCCAGAGACGAAGCTGGGGGCCCGGCCAGCTGGGCAGCAGGAGATCCAGGGGGCAGTCAGGTCCACAGCCCTAGAATCCATATTTGGCTTGGGTCTGCCGGCGGCTGAGCTTGTTCTCCGACCAGGTGTTCTTCAGTTCCAGCTCCCGCTCCTTAGCCTATGCGAGGAAGAAGGGGCAGGGGAGAGTCACACTAAGGTTCTGAGAAATATTTTTCTTTTGCCTCTGTGCACTTCCCAATTTAAGTCTTTCTCCCGGGCTTCCCTGGTGGCGCAGTGGTTGAGAATCTTCCTGCTAATGCAGGGGACACAGGTTCAAGCCCTGGTCTGCGAGGATCCCACATGCCGCGGAGCAACTAGGCCCATGAGCCACAACTACTGAGGCTGCGCGTCTGGAGCCTGTGCTCTGCAACAAGAGAGGCCGCAATAGTGAGAGGCCCACACACCGCGATGAAGAGTGGCCCCCGCTTGCCACAACTAGAGAAAGCCCTCGCAAAGAAACGAAGACCCAACACAGCCAAAATAAATTAAAAAAAAAAAATTAATAAACTCCTACCCCCAACATCTTTTTTTTCACTTATTTCATTTAATAATATTGGTATGTATATTTAGAATAGTGTTACATAAAATATTTTAAAAAATAAAAAATAGAGCCTTTCTCCCATCAAAACAATTAGGTGGAAAAAGCAAATCCCTTGAAAGATTTAATTTTCCCTTATTCAAGCAGAAGGGGAAGACCCTGAGAAAGCAAAGAAAAACCATCTCTTTGGGGAGCTAATAGGGTTTAAGCAGAATAAAGACTCAAGAATCCTGGTCCTTCATCAGCTAGAATTAAAACTGAGATGCTCAAGTGGGAAATGGACAAATGAGAAACTGAATCTGGCATCTGAAAGAAAGACAACTGGCTACCTTGGATACCTAACTAGCCAAGTGGGAGAGGACAGCCTCAAAGACTTGGACAGGTCAAAACAGGACACCAACCAATAATAACTTAGTCTGGAGCCACAGTTTGCTGTTGTGTTGAATACAGTGTATATGGTACCCCAGAAATTCACACCACTTTCAAGTATAAACTGAAGCTGTGAAAAATTGACTGGAAGGAACTAGAATTAATGCTTTCTCCTTCTGACTACAACAACTCCTGGCTCTACATTGCATTCTGGGAAGGTACAAGCGCCACCCTAGAAATGGGGCTCCTCAACCCCACTCCCACAAGCTAGCTGATACCTGCTCATTTCCCCTGGAATGGGGTGGGGTGCTAAGGGTTTGGGTTTAAAAAAAGACCCTACAGGGGAGCAGCTAGCAAAAACAAATAATTAAAAAATAAATTTAAAACAATTTTGAAAGACCCTACCCTCAAATTCTTTCCCTACAAACAATAAGACAGGGTAAGGGTACAAAGGAGTCTCTGAAAAGGAATGTGAAAATATGATAAGAACAACGAAAGCAAGTTTTGCCACGGAAATCACCAACCAGCATATACACTCCCCAGGGAAATGGCCAGGAAAGAGTCTTATTCCTGTCTGTACCCTTGACAGCATTTAGTACAGTAGGTCTCGAAAAGATATTCAGTGATTCAGTGAATATTTGAAAGCTGCCAGGTCCTATCAAATAAATACCAAGACATATTCTAATTCCAGAAGATATTCTGGATTATCTGTAATTTTGAATTATTTGCACTGATGTTTCCTGCCACAGAAATGGAGAACATAAATAAAACCAACTTCCTCACGAGGTGGATGTTTTGCTAAATGTTGGTGAACCAATTTTTCTTTAAAGTTTTTTTTTAATTTTTAAAATTTATTTATTGGCTGCATTGGGTTTTCATTGCGGTGGGCGGGCTTCTCACTGCAGTGGCTTCTCTTGTTGCAGAGTGCGGGCTCTAGGCGCACGGGCTTCGGTAGCTGTGGCATGTTGGCTCAGAAGTTGTGGCTCGCGGGCTCTAGAGTGCAGGCTCAGTAGTTGTGGCGCACGGGCTTAGTTGCTCCGCAGCATGTGGGATCTTCCCAGACCAGGGCTCGAACCCGTGTCCCCTGCATTGGCAGGTGGATTCTTAACCGCTGCACAACCAGGTAAGTCCCTAAAGTTTTTAAAATTATCAGATAAACTTGCTATTTGAAAGAACCCTGTGATAAACCATTTCACTCCCCTCTTACCTTTATGCTCTGAATATCTGAATTTTCACTTACAGAGTTTATTCCAAGCACCTGTACTTGAGTCTTATCTAAAGTGAGACTGATGCAGAGTAGGAGAATTCTGAAGGACACATCCCCACCTAGTGGCCATATGGAGAACTGGGGAGGGTGCCTGCTGGAAGCTTCTTAGCCTAGATCTCAGCCTTCAAATCCCCAGGTTTACAGGGATCCTGCCTAGCAGGCCAGGGCCCTCAGCCCTCTCACCTGATGAATCAGATACGTGATCTGGTGTTTCCGCCGCTGCTGGCCTGTTGGCTGCTCACCTTTCTTCTGCAAGGGAAGAAAACAATCATTAACCCACTGAAAGAAAAGTGGAACTTTCTCACGTGCCCCAATGAGGCAAGGTTGGGCATTAAGAAACCAACTATACACAGCCCAAATCCTAGGGGGAAAAAGTCAGCTTGGAGCTGTTTTTATGTCTGTATACTTACAGTTATTTTTATTAAAGCCATTATGCAAAACTCCCAAGCTCAGACTACTTGCCTAAAATAGCCAGCTAACATCCCCATTAGACTGGAAATCCTATGGGGTCAGGACTGTCTACTACACGTCTTTGGTAAGTAACCCCACCCCGCCCCCAGCACCAAGCATGGTGTTCTGCCCACAGTGGGCACTTGATACCAGCTTTACTGCCTGCAGTCAGTCTAAAACAGCTGAAGTGCCAGGGTCCAGGAGACCTTCCTCCCTCCTTTCCTCCTGCCCTCCAGACTCTCTCACCACCCACTCTGCCCATCTCCCCTTTAGGCCCTCTTCATCTCTGTTCACCTCTCCCCAGTCAGGCCAGATGTCTAGCCTATCTCCTACCTACTGCTTACCAAGCTCTCTCCCATCAATCACCTCTGGCTGAAACCCCAGTCCCTCATTCTAGTAACTGCCAACAAACAACTTCCCTGGAATTAGATTTTCGCCATCACCCCACCTCTCTCCAGTCTTCCAGCCTCCACCCGTAACTGCACTGAACCCCTAACCAAACTTTGATGCAAATGATTTACTGTCAGAGTCTATATTGGTCTGGGCTTTCATTCTGCGGTTTTTCTGTCCTCTGCCAGTCTTGTCTCAGACTAGAAGCTTCCTAATCAGCCCCACCCAACTCCCAAAACTCCTCTCTGGAGTCTCCTCAGCACTTATGTAATCAATTTGCACCATAATCATTTACACTCAAGTGTCCTTAAATCTCTTTTTCTCAACTACACTGTAAACCCCTCAAGGACAGGAACTGTATCTTTCCTTTTTTTTCAATCTGGCTCAATACAATGAGATGATGGAAAAAAACCTTAGACCTGGGAAAACAGCAAACTCCAATTCCTTGATGCTATTTAATATCATTTAATATGACAGTTAAAGATGACAAACATAAAACATCCAGCTCCATTCCTGGCCCACAGTGAGCACTGACAACAGTAGCTATTACTATGTGATGATGCTTCTCGACCCACAGTTAGTAGAGCATGCTCTCCTAAGTGGTTTTTCCAGTAAACAATGATGGATCTATGCTGATCTAACCACAATCCTTTGCTCTGTCCTGTATGGCCGCCAACATTCAGTTGAAACAAATGGCTGGGGCTCAGATGGCCATCTGTGGCCACAGAACAAAGCAAAGAAAATGGATAGAGAAGGGAATAAAATGCCCGACCTTGGCCTTACTGGTGCTCGGCTAGAATCCAGGGTTCCCCACATTTTCCCCCCTGTGGCAGGCTCATAAATGTCCACATTTGCTGTACTCAGCTACTAGGTGAAGAGATGTTCATCATACTGACTGAAGAAAACTAGCAGAGAGAAGGTAGGAGTGTGGTGTGGGAAATGTGAGGAATAAAGCATCTGAAAAGACTACAGCTGGCTACAATAAATAATGGAAAGAAAGGAGAGAGAAGGACATGTACACTCAGCACCTAGGACCCCAGGGCTTCTGAGGCTCTGCTGTGCCCACACCTCACAGATGTCTGTGCCGGGTCCCAACTTAACAGAATGGAGAGAGGGATATGACTGCAGAGAGAAGGAAGAGCAGCTATGGATCCCGTCCAGCCAGGGAAGGAGCCACACATATCAGAGATCTTCCCAACTGCAGGTTAGGAAACTGTTTCAACCATCCAATCTCAGTAACCAGACTCCACCACCCAGATGGAGAGCAAAGTGCTGCAAATTCTGAAAGGCGGGAGCTCTATCTGGGAGGCTTGGTGTACACTCCAGTACCAAGGGGAACAGGTGTTTGCTAAAGGTGCTGGGACAGTAACAATGGGGTTTGGGGGTCAGATTTTGCTTTGGCCACCCACTAGACCTTTCCCACTTACTTTGCTGAATGACTTCATGGTTTTCTCTTCTGTCAATGACTTGGTCATCCACTGCTGGGCCCCACTGAGCTGGTCATCACCTTTGATCTCCACAAAGTTGATCTCCTCCCTCCCTCGGTTCCTTTTGCCCTGCAGCCGCTTAAACTGGAAAAGGGGGAAAAAATTCAGGAGTGGGGGGTCTGGGTAGGGGGTCAGGAGATGTCACCAAGGATCCAGAGTTTATGGAATGGTTTTGGGCCTCCCCAATTCCATTGCACCCTTAATTCTCTCTATGCAGTATGTCCTTTCACTGTGCCACCTACCAAGTGGCCTTGAAGCCAGGTGAAAGGCTACTTCTCAGAGGTTCTCCTGGCCTCAGGGAAAGGAAGGCCAAAATGTATTCCCAAACATAAGTGAGTGCAGAGAATCACTGATATGAATTTGTATTCAAATTATTTATAAATTGTATCTGCCTAAAAGGACTGCATACTATTTTCAAATTAAGGGTACAAAAAAAAAATTTTAGGATTTCTCTTCTAAAAATTGGTTCTTTTAACATGTCTGTTCCTTTGCATTGGTTCAGTATCACCAAATCAGCAGACCGCACAACAGACCAGACATGAGAGAAGGAGAACATAGAGATGGGGAGAGAGGAAGCCTCAAAAAAAGACCTGGCAAATTTTCTAGGAGACAGCTACTCCTTCCTCCTCAAAAAAAAAAAAACAAAAAAACATCACACCACAAGTCACCAGGAGATATGCCTAGAAGGAGTGTGAGCAAAGGGGAATTAAATTCAATAACACTCGGAAACCTGCAATGAAACCCAGGTTGTGGTCTGAGCATTAGCAAGGCCTCCTGGGGTCACTCTACCCATAAGAAGCTGACTTTTGCCACTGGATGAGCTCTCTGCTGCCTCCTAGGCTTAAAACAAAAAGGGCCTAACTACTGAACTTGTCAAGGAGGATATACACAGGGAGGTGGATGAACACAGTATTAACCACAGGCAGAAGTTTGCAAAGGGATGCACATCTTTCTGTGAAAAGGTGAGAAGAAAATTATTTTTATAAGAACTTGCATGCAAAGAGGTAGAATCCCCAATTTCTCCAACCCACTCCTAATAGGCTGTGACCTCCCTACAGATGGAATACTTTATCTCCTGAACATGACCAGATGGCCGCAGGACATGGGGTTTTCATCTTCCCTTGTGCTGAGTTGGGGAAAAGCTCAGCAGCAGGGAACACAGTGATGTGAAACACAGGGTTATTTACTGTGGCTGCCGTTCCCTCCCCAAATCCACTCGCCTTGTCTCCGTTAGTATGAATGAACCCAACACTTCGGCTAGGCACATTACCACCCAGCGAAAAGACTCCATTTCCTTGCAACTAGATATGGCCATGTGACCAGGTTCTAGGCAGACAGAAGGGGAAGTGTTCTTAGGAACTTTCAGGAAGTCTCCTAAAAGGGGAGGTGACTTTCTTTCTCCACTCTGCTGCCTGGTATGCAGTAATGATGGCAGTGGACTTAGCTACATTCTTAATTTTTTTTTTTTTTTTTTTTTGCGGTACGCGGGCCTCTCACTGCTGTGGCCTCTTCCCGTTGCGGAGCACAGGCTCCGGACACACAGGCTCAGCGGCCATGGCTCACGGGCCTAGCCTCTCCACGGCATGTGGGATCCTCCTGGACCGGGGCACGAACCCGTGTCCCCTGCATCGGCAGGCGGACTCCCAATCACGGCGCCACCCGGGAAGCCCCATTCTTATTCTTATCACTAACCCTAAGAATAAAGGCCACAACCTAGGGATGGGCAAAGTAATGATCAGAAGGGGACTGGACCCCTGACAGCTTTGTGGAGCTGCCATACCAGCCTTCGCCTGCCTACCTCTAGCCTTCTTTTATGAAGAAAAAAGTTAACTTCCCTTACATAAGCCAGTATTACTTGAAGTTTCTCAATTATATGTTGCCAAACCTAATCCTAAGTGAATGTAGTTTAAAAAAAAAAGAAAGAATTTCCTTTAGCTTCAGATTTGAAACCTGGTGACCAGGGGTTAAAGATGGTCACTTGTGCTTTGTTAACTTACTGCTTCGTCATCGATGAAGGAGGCATCTGGGGCAATTTCCTGTGGGGGGACCAGAGTTGGGTCCTGTGCGGGATAGTAGCCACCACTGTAATAATCCTGCAGTCAAGGAGGGAAAAAAACACACCAACTGAGGGCACAGTGGAGAGGGGACAAAGAAAACCCTCATCAAAGAGGCAGTGGTGACACCCACACCCACACTACAGACCCTCAAATGGACCAGTAAAAGCACAGATCCTAAGGACCTACCCTATAACTCAAGAACCAGACTTTCTTCTCATCGGCACCATTCAGACGGATATTTTTTAGAGAAGAGAGGTAAGAAATAAAGACGTTCTCTCTGGCTTCAATTTACCCCCTGCTCCCCTGGCCACTTCCCAAGAGTGGTTCCCACTCCTGACCTCTACTGCGCCTCAGCCCTGCTCCTGCTCGTGAGACCCCAGCAGAATCTGGTGTGAGCAGAGGTGAGAGGTGTGAGGCATGCCATTCATGCTCCTCGTCCTATCTAGCACCCTGGACACAGGAGATCACCTGTAACAGGCAGGGAGGTTGCAGATCTCGGATAAAAATCAACCCCTACAAGGGTGGTATGGAATTTACAAAGCTGGGAACAAACCAGGTTTGCATTACCAGATTTTTAGTTCAGGAATTGATGATTTCCCTTTAGAGGTGAGCTGTCCAGATGTTGTTATGGACCCTAGAGGAAGAGGGGTGAAGGCAAAGGCAAGGCCCCTACTGTGGCCGAGTCAGGCAGCCACAGGGCTGAGAAACTGTTTCCTCCCTGCCTGCACATTTTCCTAATTCTTCCACCTTTGCCCAGAACTCCAAGAAATGCTCCTCTAAAAACATTCACTTTATAGTGAGCTATAACGGTTTAATTCTGAATAAAAATAATACATAAAAACCCAGAGTAATTAATTTTCATTAAAAGTATTGATAATAACATACACTTAAATTGCAGGGCCCCCTAGTGTATTTAAAGTGCTTTAATTTGCACAGATTACCTCAATACTGTTCGTAACTGCATACAGAATTCCAACTGATACTCATTTGCTGGATGTAAACTAGTGGTTTCTTAAGATTTTTTTTTTCTTTTCTCCTGCTAAAGAGATCAAAACACTCATGTTCCTCCTTCCTTCTAACAACCTTGAGGGGAGATGCATTGTCCCTGATCAGCCTACAGGATACAACAAGGTTTAACGGCAAATAGTTCTCAAGGTCTTTGATCAGAACAGAGTGCCTTCAAAGCCCACTGCCTAGACTGTAGATAAGATTAACACCGACCATTCAGAGAATCACAGTGGCTGAAGAAGACTGAAGTCTTGAAACCATCGCATGCTGGCAGGAAAACTTCCTACAGCTGCCCAGCCACAGGACCGGCCAGAGGCCTCTGTTCCACCTCCACCACTGCCGTGAGTCCCCGAACTCCTGGGAGCTCTCTCCATCTCAGGAAGCTCTGACCACTGGAAAAGTCTTTCTTAAACCTATTTACAACCTGGCCTCATATATTCTCACTCTCTGAGGCCACATAGAACAATTTAAACAGCTCTTCCAAATAACATTTGAATAAAAAGTTATCATAACCATTTACTGAGCATTTGCTATGTTCCAGGCAGCACGCTAAACCAATGTAATTCTACCTAACAACCCTGAAGTTGCTAGTATTCTTCCCATTTTAGAGCTGAGAAATCTGAGACTCAGAGAGGCAGTTAAGTAATAGACTCACATAGTTTGAGATTCAAACTCCAAACCACCCTCAAACCCCATTCTCTATCTCTGCCCAAACTATGGTCCTCCAGCATCTTCTTTCCAGGGACTTGCCTCAGTCCCTTCAACTTCCTGTGACTCAGTCGAGGCCTCTCACCATTCTCCTTATTCCCTTTTGCATTCGACTCTCCAGATTCCCTCCTGTCCTCCACAGTCCCTCCTCTCCCTTGCAGTCCTCAGCACTCCCCGCCTCCAGAACTCTTCTTGGACTCACTGCTGTTCACTTATCCTCCTCACCCACATCTGCAGAAGCTACCTGGGATCTCTAAGACTAGAGATTGCTCCTCTTCCACTTTCTCCCTATACCTTTCATCAGCTCCTACAATGACATTTTGTTTTCAGAATAAACGGGTCAATTATGTGTTTCGACCTATCAGACTACAAGACTTAGCATAAAGGTAGTATGTTTTGAGGCCTGACAGGTACAGGAAAACCAAGGCACCAGAAGATTCATTAATTCAGCCAAAGTGATGCCACAGAGGCCGTATCACTGGCTCAAAGCTCTCCCTGACGGCCGTACTCCAACATTCCCTGGCCTGCCCTCCATGCCTCTTACCCACCTGATAGTAAGCACCAGCGGCATTGGCATCGCCATACGTGGAAAACTGATTGTAGCTGTAGTCATCCCCAGGCTTAGGCATCCAAGGGGCCCCACTTGAGCCTGCTGCCATCTTGAACTCTAAGGGGGCATTGGCTGCATCGTCCTGGAAGGCCGGCTCTGGTTCCGTGCCTGGAGGCAACTCTTCAGGGACAGTGGGAATGGGGTAAGGGTATGGCTCAACTCCAGGCGGCTCGGCCTTCTCAGGGAGGGAGAAAAAGTTCTCAGGGGCTACTTCCTCATCACTATCGTCCTCTTCCTGCGTGATCTGCTTCGTCACCTGCAGGGCAGCACTCTTGGCAGCAGCCTTGATAGCAGAGGGCGATGGAGTGGTGGTTGTGGTGCCCACAACAGGGGCGAGAGAAGAGGGCTTGGTCTTAGAAGCTTGTCTGGAGGGCTTAGTGTCAGAGGAGCCATCCGAGGGTTTCCGGGAGAAGGCATGGGGCAGGAGCAACCTGTTAGTCTCTTTCACAGTCAGGTTTTTAGGTTGGGGAAGCAAGGCGGACAAACCAGTCCCCTCACTGGATCCCTGGTGAGCCCAGGTTTGGGTAAGGAGGGAAGAAAGATGACAAGTGAGATGTTATGATACATACTACTGACATTAAGAACAAGCATTACAGATATGTGCTCTAGCCTAAAATCTTACCAGCCCTGTTTCCGTCTAACCTCGGACCACTAACGTCATCCAAACTGGACTTGACTCCTCCTACCTCAGGCCATTCTGCTGTCCGCTTCTCCCAAGGTAAGATGTCACCCCTGTTTTCCTCATCCATCTCAACCCAGCTCCACTTCCCTCTGCCACAAAGCCTTCCCTGACTCTGATTTTTTTGCAAATATGATAAATACATTTGGCAAATACATCATCCCTCTTCGCAAAAAGCCCAGGGCTCTCTCCAGCTGATCACTGAACCTCTATGTCCTAACGGTTCCTCTTAACATGGGACTACTCCCTGCTTCCTTTGGATTGCCACTCAAAGTCAAGAGCGAGCCTATGTCCAAAAAAGATATTCATACATACCGCCAGAAGTTCCCTCCCCGACCCAAGAAAAGCCCTACAGACAGGGTATATTCAGCTTGCTTACGCCAGAGTCATGCATTTAACTTATCAATTTGTAAGCTAATTGGCTCAGCCTATCCAGTGTTCCTCAGCCCAACCAGAGTTGCTATTATTCATAAGAATCTCTGGGATTCTGCTTTCCATGTGCTACAGGTCCAGCTTGGCCTAACTGCAGGGCTGAGGGAGGTGTCAGTCTGAAAAAGGAGAATGGAACAAGGTCATTGTGTCACCGTCCTGGAGTACCCATCTACCTCAGCTCTCTCAGCCAAGAAATGCCCAGAATGAGTAAAATAAGACTTCTGAGTCAAGCAGGCCAGGCAGAACTGTTCATCCAGAAAATGGGCTCTTCTCCCTGCTGTCTGTGTTCACAGATTTGGGTCATTTCAGCCTGGTAGACCCCAGAGGCTCAGGTTCATAAAAAGCAGACTGAGGTGGCAGGTGGAGCACATCCTCAGGCTACCTTCAAAGTATCTGACTTCTCAGATACATCTGGGATCATGGCTACATCCCTGGGCAGTGCTGGGTCCATACTCTGCCTTAATAGCTCAGAGTTTCTCTATGCACTCATCTCTTCCTACCATCTGGAAGACTGCTTTTTACTCCTGGGGTGCCTTCTGAGCCAGTGTCCTCTCATCTCTTCAGTTGCCAGTCCACGTCCTCCAGGAAGCCATTCTGATAACAGAGAACAACTGGCTTCATTCAGTCTCAGCAAGTCAGTATCTTCCATGATTCCTCCTCCATCACCCACTACAAATATGGACACAACATCACTCTCACTAGTTATCTTTCTAACTTTCACATGACTTTGTCCTTCTAACACCTCCCAGCCACGGAAGTGACACCTTAACAGAGTCAGGGGAAGGAGCAACTTCAGCATCATATACCTAAATCATGAGACAGCAACCTTATAAAGGCAGAACTGTTTTTGTTTTTTTAGCTGTTTTGGGTCTTCGTTGCTGCACGCCGGCTTTCTCTAGTTGCGACAAACAGGGGCTACTCTTCGTTGTGGTGCACAGGTTTCTCATTGCGGTGGCTTCTCTTGTTGCGGAGCACGGGCTCTAGGCGCGCAGGCCTCAGTAGTTGTGGCTCACAGGCCCCAGGAGTTGTGGCTCTCAGGCCCCAGGAGTTGTGGCTCACAGGCCCTAGAGTGCAGGCTCAGTAGTTGCGGTGCACGGGCTTAGCTGCTCCGCGGCATGTGGGATCTTCCAGGACCAGGGATCGAACCCGTGTCCCCTGCACTGGCAGGCAGATTCTTAACCACTACACCGCCCCCAGGGAAGTCTCAAGGCAGAACTGCTTTTGCTCTTCCTGAGGCATATAATCAACATGAGGTCAGAGAGTGTATAAATCACCGAGTGTGGAGCTGAACAGGAAGAAACTTCTGGGAGCCAGAATAAAGGCACGGGGACAAGGGGAAACAGGAAACAGCAGCAAGATCATCTCCCGACACTGTCTGGTTAAGGACTTCTGGTCTTGATGACAGAGCAGCAGCCAAATGCAGCAGGTAAGAGCTTGGACTCTACAGTCAGACTGCCTCAGTCTGAACCCCAGCTCTGTCCCCACTAGTTGTCTGACCTCGGGCAAGTTCCTTAAGCTCTCGTTTTCCTTGTATGTAACACGGGGATGATAATAACGCTATGACTTAGGCACTATTAGGAGGATTAAATCAGTTAAACACTGGTACGGCACTTAGTGCCTGGTAAGTGCTATTTAAGTGTTTCTTTTCCAGGTTAAAAATGAGACAGGGAGAAGATGGATAATTTTAAAGTTCAGATGTTCCATAACAACATTTTGACCAATCCATTTACTCTACCGTTCCTAAATAATCCTTTTACCTGAAATGTAATGAATCAAATTGAGTTCCAATTCATCTCCCTACCACGCCTGTCCTCTAGGAGAGACGCCAGTGCGCTGAAGCCAGGGAACAGCCAGGAGAGGGTAGAGAAGCACGAGGTCTGATGTTATCAGGAAAACAAAACTACACCCAAACAGGCAGTCGTCCAATACTTGCATTTGCTCTACGCCTGACCTGGAAATTTCCCATCTTTCAGGAAGCAATATGGGAAGAGAAGAAATGGCTTCTATTACATCACAAAGCTTACCTGAAGGACAGTTTTCTTCTTTGTGGGTTCATCTTCCTCGGAATCTGACTAAGAGAAAAAGAAATGGAATAAGGCCTCACTGTTTAAGGACAGTGGAGAAGCACCCACATTAAATGAAGCACAAATAAAGGACTGGACAACAGGGGTCATCATCCTGTCCGAGCCCCTCCTCTGTAAGCGAGATGCACCCCCCAGAACCAGCCAAAAAGCAGAGCTTCCTTCCTGCTCTCAAACGGCTTCAGAAAACAAGGTATGCGTTGACCACCCCTGGTTACTCATTCCCATACCTCCAGACCTGTTGCACAGCCTTCTTAGCATCCATTTCTAGTCCTTTAAATTAAGACTACTTCCTCCCATTCAGTCTTTGGTGGAAAGAAAAAGCTACACCCATTCTTCTTCCTATAAAACTGTCCACTAGAAGATGAATGGGATTTGGCCCACAATCTCACCCAATCTCAGTTTCACTTCTAAAACCACTTATATAGACTACATAACCACAGGGCTGGGGAACTCCAGTGGGATTAAGTGGTATGTTAACTACTCTTCTATGAGGTATTAAAGGTCAAAGCCATTGGAGAAATCCATTCCCTCTCGAAGTATGATCTATTGTCTGCCAGACAGAGTTGTTTGTGTCCAGGAAGAAGGCGAGCAAATGATGACTGTGAGAATTTGGAGCAAGAAGGGAGCTCATCTGTGTTACTCCTCTGACTCATCAGGATTGTTTCTAATACAAGCTCTCACACTAAAAATGTCTAAACTTTTAGCTCAATACCAGTTCCTCAGCATCTCCAACTATCAGAAAGATGCAAGGCATATGAAGAGCAAGCTTTCACATTTTATTTTAAAAAATTAATATCCAAACTGAGAACCTTAAAAGTTTTCCATTTGTTCTTAGCACCTTGGTTTGGGGCATCTGTAAACAAAGGTGATTAGGCAAGAATCTAAGATCCTATTCATCTCCAAGATTCTAAAGAACTCAAATCCTCTGCCTGTCTTTCTCAACTGACCCTCATATCTCACAAGTTCCTTTTGGGGTTTTTTGGGGGGGTTTTTTTGTTTTTTTATATTTTATTTTTATTTATTTATTTTTTTGGCCACACCGCATGGCATGCGGGATCTTAGTTTCCCCACCAGGGATCGAACCTACGCCCTCTGCAGTGGAAGCACAGAGTCTTAACCACTGGACCGCAGGGAAGTCCACAGGTTCCTTTTTGGATTTGTGTGCTACAAGGACTTTTTGATCATCATTACTCAGAACCTACTGTATGCAAGACACTGTGCCAGGCACCGTAGACAGAGTTTCCCAGCTGGTGTCCTATGGCTGGGTTATAGGTACTATGATGATACTGACCCACTCAGCCCACAGGGCATCAGGCAGGGCTTGGAGCAGGTAGAGTCCTGGCCCACTGCTTTCCAGAGGCACAGCCTGTACCACTTCCCCCACTGTGCTTCAAAGATTTTCTTGTGTGCCATGACATGAAAAAAGTCCCTGCCCTCAAGAAACTTACAGTCCAGTTAAGAAGAATGACAAGTACCCAAATAACTGTAATAAAGGCAGTAAAAAGATAAGGGCATCAAGTGTGGTTCCAACATCCCCTCAAAGAATTGGCTGATCCTCCATTTGTGCTTTCTTTCACGTAAGTCCCCCACCTTATTACTCCCTCTCCCTTACCTGAGTCACTGACACCTCTCACTCTCCTGTCAGTCTGCACTCTGTACTTCCTGACTCGAAACTCCTGAAGTCTTTCTGAAGAAGCTCACCCTGCTCTTTTTCACTCTGTGTCCCTAAGTTATTCATTTGTCTGAGGTGGCATCATGCTAACAATGATTCATTTGTGCTTGCTGTGTAAATGTTACATTTTTCACGTGCGTATTCTTCCCTTTACTCTGACAGCCAAGGCCCTATCTTACAGTTCGATATTACCTCACAGTAGTCAGTACACAATGATTTTAATTACTAACTGCTGCCAATTGTAGTATTAAAAAAACCTGTTAAGAGAAATCTGTCTTAGACTTCCCTGGTGGCACAATGGTTAAGAGTCTGCCTGCCAATGCAAGGGACATGGGTTCGAGCCCTGGTCCAGGAAGATCCCACATGCCGCAGAGCAACTAAACGCGTGCACCACAACTACTGAGCCTGCGCTCTACAGCCCGCAAGCCACAACTACTGAGCCCGTGTGCCACAACTACTGAAGCTCACGCACCTAGAGACCATGCTCCTCAACAAAGAGAAGCCACCGCAATGAGAAGCCCACGCACCGCAACGAAGAGTAGCTCCCACTCGCCGCAACTAGAGAAAGCCCGTGTGCAGCAATGAAGACCCAACACAGCCAAAGACAAATAAACAAAACAGGGCTTCCCTGGTGGCGCAGCGGTTGAGAGTCCGCCTGCCAATGCAGGGGACACAGGTTTGTGCCCTGGCCTGAGAAGATCCCACATGCCGCGGAGCGGCTGGGCCCGTGAGCCATGGCCACTGAGCCTGCGCGTCCAGAGCCTGTGCTCCGCAACGGGAGAGGCCACAGCAGTGAGAGGCCCGCGTACCACACACACAAAAAATAATTAATTAAATAATAATAATAAACAAAATAAATAAATATATATTTTTTAAAAAAAGAGAAATCTGTCTTAGTGCTTAAATATGGGGGTAAGAGAAAGGGCAGTAAAGGGCAGGACAGTCATTTGCTGAGTAGCTACTATGTGGCAGGCAATTTATTCACAAGTTTTTATTCAATCCTGAATAAAATTTCAAGGTAGGCATTATTATCTCAACTTTACAGGTAAAGAAAATAAGGCTCAGAGAGGTTAAATAATTGCCAGTACACGGCAGAACCGGGACCTGAATCAGTTTAGGCTCCCATGCTTTTGCAGCAACACCTGTCACGTTTTTGCAGCTGAGCTGTGCGTGTCCAGACCTGAGATCCACACTGATCAGATCCCACATGATACAGCCGAGAGCACAAGGCACAACATCAGAAATACAGGTTTATAGCTAGTGGGAAGCAGCCACATGGCACAGGGATATCGGCTCGTTGCTCTGTGACCGCCTGGAGGGGTGGGATAGGGAGGGTGGGAGGGAGGGAGACCAAGAGGCAAGAGATATGGGAACATATGTATATGTATAACTGATTCACTTTGTTATAAAGCAAAAAGTAACACACCATTGTAAAGCAATTATAGCCCAATAAAGATGTTAAAAAAAAAAAAAGAAATACAGGTTTGAATCTCAGCTTTGCCACTCATTGGCTGGGAGGATCCCCAAAGAGCCATTTAACTCCCCAAGCCTCAGTTAGCAATAATACTTATCCATGTCACAACATTGTTCTAAAGACTGCATGAGCTACTATCCATGAAAATGTATATAAACTAAAATTCTTAACAGAGTTCAAGGATTACTATTCTCTCTGGTCTGCCAAGATGTCAAACACAACCGAAGAATAAGGCTTAAGCCCCAAACACCCAAGCATTTCTGACCTTTTCTCTCTGTTCCAAACTCCCACTGCCTCAGGGGCTACTGACCATTTCCCTTGTCTTCTGACCGTGAAGACTTTTCTCCTTTCCAGCAGACCACACAGAGCCACCTCACTATGGGGTATACAAGGTTTTCATGAAGTCCCCAGGCACATTTAAACTTTAACATCTAAGGCAATACGTCCGATGGAAACAATCTGAAAATAAAATTTTATCAAGTTTAAGATGATTACGTTTATAAAATTGTACAAGCATACTTTTATTTTTCAGATCCTGTGACAAACAGAAAGTGGCTACTTTGAAAGTGTAGGCAAACTGTCCCACGGCTAATAGAACTGAAGGCCAGATCAGCTGTGGGAAGAAAATTCAATTTTTCCTTAAATGTCAGATTGTTTCCATTACACTGTCAACCTAAGTTGTTTTATTTTTTCCAACCTAAGTTTAAAAGCACGTGTGCGCACACACGCACACGCACACATACACACACAAACTGTACAAAGACTTTAGGAACACCTTATTAATTCTGGATTTAGAGAACTGCTATGGCTACTCACAATCATCCTTCTTTGAACGTTTTGTACTAACCTAATGAACTCCATTATAAACCATCTCAAGACGGGCACAAAATATGACAGACTCCCTAAAACAGAACACTAAGACCCTCAAAAACATGTGCTGAGCCCCTAAACACTTCTTAAGTCATGACTATTCATCTTTGAGCGAGGGGTAGAAATAAATCTTTACCTCTTAAAGCTGGCAAACAGGACTCCGAGACATTCAGTAATCTACCCAGGGCCACAGAGGAAGTCCAGGGCCATTGGGAGGGTGAGGAAATAGAATGAGAACCACCTCTTGCCCCCTGAACTAACTTTAGTCAACTAAAGAGGTTGGAAACACAGGACTCACTGGTTCACTATGAAAAGAGGCCTAGATGCCACTCAAAATACTTCTGGGCATGTGGGGGCCTGAATGAAAACTAACAGGAAGCGAAAGGAAAGCTCAGCAAGGAATTATCCAAATACCTCAAACAAAAAAATAAACTTCAGTTCAGAGTACCGAAAAGGAGGAGATAAATAAGCCAAAAGCTAAGAGATGTGCCACATATCCTCCAGTCACAGGGTAGGGGTTGGAGTCGGGGGGATACAGCTGTCTTGGAGCAGTTAAAAGAAAAATTAATTCAGCTTCTATCAGGAACCAGCTAGAAGCAATGGGCTTAGCCTAAATACAGTATTTAACTAAGACACAAGAACTTCCTTGATGGTGAGAGGCACATGAGTATACTGGGTTTTTCCCCCTTATCATGGTAAAACATATATAACATAAAATTTATCATTTTAACCATTTGTAAATGTACAATTCAGTGGCAGTAAGTACATTCACAATATTGTATAACCATCACCACTATTTCCAGAGCTTTTTCATCATCCCAAATAGAAACTCTGTACCTACTGAACAATAATTCCCTATTGCCCAGCCCCCAGTAACCTCTACTCTACTTTCTATCTCTGGATTTGCCTACTCTAGGTACCTCATATAAATGGAATCATACAATAGGTGTCCTTCTGTGTCCAGCTTATTTT